CTGTGTTCCCACTCTCTCTTTCCTCTGTTCTCCGTACACCCGCAGTCCTTTTTTTGATCGTCTGTATCATCCGCTCGGTCAACCCGTCAGACAGAGGATGGTACCGCGACGTCACTCTGTGAGTGATGCCTGCTTCTCTCAAGAGTTCAGCAAAGCTGCCTTGAAAATCCGTGCCTTGATCGGTCAGCACTTCCCCGCAGGCGCCATATCTGGTGAGTACTTGATCCAGAAATGCCTCCCTTATCAGCCCGCTGTTCTTGCTGGCAATGGCTCTTGCTCCACCCACTTGGTCGTGTGCTCTATCATCACCACTATGTATATCTTCCCTCGTCTGGTCAATGGTAATTCACCGGCTAGGTCCAACGACCACCTGAATCCTAGGCCACGTATGGGCAGAGACTGCAGTTCTTCCCTCCCCTTCTCCAGCGCTGCCCTGTTCCGCTGACATGCCTCGCACCCCTGCACCCACTTCGCTACGTCCTTTCTCATCCCTGCCCACCAATAAGTGGTTTGTAATAGTTGCCTAGTCCTGGCTCCCCTGTAGTGCCCCAGCTTCTCATGCACTTGCTGTACGGTACGCTCTCTCTTCTTCTGGCCTTGGCACCATTTTCCATCCCTCTGTCGTCCGCAGCTGCATCTGACTCTGAAACCACCGGTAGTGTCATCCTCTACACCTCGCTCTCGCCGTCACTGTTGCTGCATCCTCTGTCAGTCCTTGCACCCAGTGCAATGTCTCCTTGTCTTGCCAAATGTCCTCTGCTCTTTGCTCCTTCGCCTCTTGCGCCGGATCCTTCTCTTCCTTCTGCATTGCGGCTGCTGCCCACTGCTGCTCCTCTTCGGGTGAAGGGTTCCTGGACAGACCGTCTGCATGTTGCAGTGTCTTGCCCGCGCGGTGCTTGATGACAAAATCGTATTCTTGCAATCTCATTGCCCACCGGGCATTCCGCCCCGTCAGCGTTTGATTAGTCATCAGCCATAAGAGCGGCTGGTGGTCCGTCACTAGCGTGAATTTGCGCCCTTACAAGTAGGCCCTGAAGTGGGTTACTCCCCACACTGCCACCAATCCTTCACCCTCATATGAACTGTAGTTAGCTTCCGTTGCTGTGCAGCTACGGCTGGCGTACGCCACCACTCGTTCTTCTCCTTCCAGCTCTTGACACAGTACGGCTCCCATGCCCATGCTGCTCCAATCTGTGTAGATTGTGAATGGTGCATCTTTCTTTGGCAGCTGCAGCACCGTCCCTGCCTTGATGCCTCTAACAGGTCTCTTCTTACCTGCTCCTCTTCTGGTCCCCACTTCCATGTCTGCCCTCCCTCAGCAGCTGATTCAGCCTATATGCTCTCTTGCTGAAGTTCGGGATGAAGCGCCGGTAGTAGTTCAAGAACCCCAGGAGTGCTCTCAGCGCTCCCTTGTCTTTTGGTGCCCCCAGCTTGTCCAGCACCGCCACCTTGGCCTCTTGATCCCCATCCTCCCGCCTTGCACCTCAAATCCCAGGTAGGCCACCGTCCTTCTGGCTATTTTGCATTTCTCTGGATGGCAGGTCAGCCCTGCGGCTGCTATAGCATCTAATGTCGCCTTCAGGTGTTCAGCATGCTCTTCTTCGCTCCTGCTGAAAATCACTACGTCATCTATGTAGCACGCTGCTGCTGGCACTGTCTTCAGCACTTGATCCATGACTCTCTGGAACACGGCTGATGCGTTCCTCAGCCCAAACAGCATCACGTTCCATTCGTACAAGCCGTCTGCTCCATGGAAGGCCGTCGTGCCCTTGTCTCCTTCATTTATCGCTATAATGATTGAATCCCTGCCGCAAATCCAAAGTGGAGAATATGACCGCGCCTTCTAGCCTGTCAAAGATCTCCTCTGCAGTTGGCATGCTATATCGGTCGGCTCTCGTTACTCGATTGATTTCTCGGTAGTCACCGCACATTCTTCTCGCTAGCACCTCTCCTGTGAGATCTGTCCTTGCTGCTACCACTGTTGCTGCCGCGTAGGCTGAGTTAGAAGGTCGTATCAGCCCCGCATCCAGTAGTTCTCTGCATTTGCTTCGGCAAATCTCTTCATCTCCCGGACTCATCCGTCGTCTCCGCTGGTAGATGGGCACCTCGGTCTCCAGCAGTAGCTCCAGCTCTTGCAGCGTACACTTTCCCAGGTCGTGCAAGGTGTAGGCGAATGTCTTGCGATGATTTTCTAAGACTTTGCTGTATCGCTGCTGCTACCTTGCTGTCAAGGTCCGGGCTCAATTCCCACTTTTTCTCCTTCTCCTTCGTTGGCTCCTCCCCCTTTTTCTTGTCCATCGCCTCGCCCTGCTTTTCTGCTTGCGTCAGGTAAGCCCAGCTTGGTTTGATCGGCTTACTTCCCCCTTCCGCTGGCCGTCGGCTCGGCTCTCGTTCGTGTCGCTGCTGTATCATTTCCTTCAGCAGCCACTGTAAGGCATGTTGATCCATTGCTCTTCCCAGGGCGGCTCTGAGCTCTTGCTCCCTCACCCCTCGTGCTGCAGTTGCCCCCGGTAAGTATCCCATAGCTAACTCTCGCTCAATTGCTGTCGGCTCCTCCCACTGCCCTCTCTCTCGGTCATAGACCATCCCTGGACCTGGCTTGCCGTCTTCCAGCACGAACCCACGTGCTCCCTCGTAGGCCACTAAGGTGGGCCAGGCCCTTCTCGGCTCGCCCAGCTTGTTGCACTACAGTTGTTCAGTGCTGCATCCCAACTTACGCCTGCCCCCAGCTCCGCTACCACCTTCTCCTGAGTTGCCCTTATTGGTTCTCGCGGGTCCCCTTCCATGTCGACGTGTTCCACCACATAGCAGCATCTCGATCCCCCTTCCTGGATCCACTTCAGCACTTGCAGGAGTTCATCCAGTAACGCCGTGCGAGCATCTCCCATTCCTCGCCCTTTTCCGGCTCTCGAGGTGCCTTGGCACTCCCAGCCCGCCACTACCAGGTCCACTTGACCCCATCCCCATACGGTTGCTTCGTTCAACTGTCTTATGTCCCACGCTCCTTCCTTTTTCGCCTCCTCAATCACGGCCTTACTTATTTGCCCCGGGTATCTCATCGGCAATTGGTCTGCATGATGCCAGGCCATGCGCCGGGCCTTTGGGTCTATCTCCACTAGTATCCACTTTTGCACGACCAATCCGGCTTCTAGCGCCGCTGCCAACCCCGCTCCAATTCCTCCAAAAAGCTCCACTATCGTAATCGGCTTCTCTCCCAGTGTTGCTCCCTTCGGCTGCCTGAGTGATTCCATCCTGTCTTTCTCTGCCGCTTTCTTGCCCCCTGCCATTTTCTCCTCCTTTGCCTTTTGTAGTGACTCCGTGGCTCTCAGGGCCTTCTTTGGCTCCATCTTCACAAACCGCACCGGCAACTCTCCCTGTTCTCCGCCTTCTCTCCAGTATTCGGTTCTGAAGCTCAGCTTCTCTCCCCATGCATCAATTTGCGCCCCTATCTTGTAAATCAGCTCCATCCCCACCAGCAAGTCATAGTCTTCGGACTCGGACAGCCCGCATTGCACTCGAATCCGTGTCTCCCCCTTCTGTCCTGGCAGCAGCACCACCTCCACCGGCTCCTTCGTGCTTGGCATCCACTTTGGTGGCCCGCCCTCCGCCGTGATGATTAGCATTCCCTTGCTCACCGTCTCCAGCTTCCCTTGCTTCTGTAAGCACTCCGCTAGTTTCCTCCCCATCAGTACACTCTGCGCTCCTGTATCGATGATGGCATTCTCTACCTTCACACCTTGTACGGCTATGGAGCCGGCTTCCGCCAGTAAAGCGGTCGTGTGGCACACCAGCCTGTCCTCCGGATGCAATTGGCCCGCTCCCTTACTTCTTCCTCTTCCTTTCCTATCTTCCTGCTGCGTGTCCTCGCCTTATGCTCTTTCCTCCCATCCATCCCACCGCTCCGCAGTCCCAGATCTTCTCTTTCTTGGGGTAGTGTCGCCACCAGCGCATACTCGGACTCCTGATCTTCTTCCTCATCTCCATCTTCGTCCTCCCACGCCATCATCGCTTTCTCCGGATCTTCGCTGGTTTCCGCTTTTCCCAGTTGCGCTCTCAGTTTCTTCACCTCCTGCTCCAGCTCTTGTTCTCGCAACGATTTCCCCCTCTGTCCTCCACTCCTGTAGCACTAGGTGCTAAGATGTCCCTTCTTTCCACATTCGTTGCAGGTGGGAGCTCTGGGGCAGTTCCTCCTGAAGTGGCCCATCTGCCCGCAGTGGTCGCACGTGATACCCATCACGCAATCCTTGCGCAGGTGGCCCACCTCCCCACACTTGTGACAGCGCAGATCGTCTCTCGGCCTCTCCCTCCTCTCTTCTTCCAGTCGCCGTACTTCTGTGGCTCACCATACCGGTCTTCTCTTCTCTGTGGATCTTCGAGCTCCCCTCATCATGTCCACATAGCGTCTCCCTTCCTCAGCTTCTTTGGCGATCTGATATACCTGCCTCAGCGTGGCCTTGGCCCGAATAGGATACAGCGCACTCCTCATCTCGTTGACTAAATCTTCTTCCAATCCTCCTAAGAATTTCGTCACCATAAGACGGTCCTCCAGGCAGTTAAGATCTTCAGATAGCTCTACTAAACGGTTATAATATGCCAGCAGTGATTCGCCCTTCCCTCTACGGAACTCACTAAATTCAGCTACACGATCGGCCGTGTCGCCAGGAAACTGCTCTTTCATAATCTCGTAGAACCGATCTACGATCTTGCGGGGCGGAAGTTCTCCCTGCTCATACTCTCGCAGCAGCCTTGCCCTCTCTACTCGATAGTGCGTCTGCGCCTCTCCTCGGAGTGTCTTTCCTAGTCCTCGAAAGAATTCTACTGGATCTAGCCCCTCTCGATCCCAGCAATAGCGGATATCATCTATCAACATGATGTAATTCTTCAACGATGGTTCTTCCCCCGGCACGCCTGAAAATCGCTCGGGCACTTCTATCTTCGGTACACTCGCGACTGTCGACCGTCCGCTTCCCACGAATTCGCCCTTCCTCCTTCTCTTGCAGAGTAGCCTCCAGCCGCTCGATCTTCTAGGGATCTAGTCCCGCGCTCTCTTGGCTGCTCTTTCCCTTTTTCCATCTCTGCTCGCTCCTGCGATCTTTCTACGCGTACTGGCGTTCCTCCTCGCGAACTCATACCCGAACCTCCACGACTCCGCGGATCTGGCGATCCGACGTCCTCTCCACCTTTTTCGCTAGTAGCCGCTGAAGCCAACGCTTCATGTCTCTCGGGCTCATGGGGCCCTGCGCGATACACCGGGCGCAGAGGAGGCTGCACCTCCTCCTGCACGTTCCTCGATGGGTATCTGATTCCCGATCTGAGGCGATGTCCCTCGGGACTCGTCTCTCGACTCATCACTGCCTGCGGTCCGCCCCTCCTCAGCCCGCAGCTTGTCTTCGTCACACCGCTAGTGAACCATTATCCTCAGCGGTCGCGCGGTCGCCCTTTTCGCTTGTATGTTACAAGCCGCCCGCCGCCTACTCGGATCTACTTAAGATCGAATTCCCGCACTCCTAGACTCCAGTAGGATTAGAGCAAATTGCAATATAGAAGGAAAACATACAAGCGAAAAGCAATGGTCCTACTGAGTCGCCTCCTATTTACACGTCCACCTCTCTCTCCTTCTTCTCCCTTCTCGTTATCCCCTCGAAAACTGAGATTGCTCTTGGCCCAGCTTCTCGTCAGATTAGCCCCTTGCTGACGCACTCCACCCTGTTCCTGCTCGCGCCTCGACACTCCAACATTCCAATTCCTCCTCCCTCGATTTGCACATTCCCAAACTATTACAGTATTCTACTGTACCTCCCTTTTGTCCAGCCTATGCTTTCTTGTATAACCAATCTACCAATTCTTCTCTTTCTTCCACTCACCACTTCTTTGGCTGCTGTGTTAACCGAGGGAAGGCTCCTGTCTTTCCGCGGGTAACGCGACATCTCGCACACTTCCCTGCATCTTCCTTGGTTTCAACTCTGACTCCCTTGACTACCTGTTCCTCTACCCCCCCTCAATTCGCCTTATCCGCAGTCGCGATGTCACATTTGACAAATCCACACCCTATTACCCCTTCACCCCTTCCACTGACCCCTTTCCCCCGGTAACCCGTCCCCTCCTTTGGACCGACACCGTCGCCCCACCCCTTTTCCCTCCCCTCCCACTTCTCCCCCCCCCCCACCCGTCCCTCCTGCCCCCGCCCCTGCTCCCGCCCCCGCTCCAGCCCCCTCCTCCTCCTCCTCAGGAGATATCCTTGACCCCGTGCTTCCCCCCTCCCCCCTCACCCTCCACTAACCCTACCCACTCCCAATCTAGAGCTCCCTCCCCACCACCTCCTCCCCCACCACCCCCTCCCCCACCTCCTCCTCCGCGCCTCCCCTTCCAGCCCCACACTTGCTCGCTCGATTCCCTCATTGGTGCTCCCCCCCCCCTCGTGTCCTCAACACCTTTGCCCCCTCCCCGCAGCCCTCCCTTCCCCCCAGCCCATTCCCCAGGTCTCTCCACCGCTTGCACCTGGCATCCTCATGCTTTCGACACCACCCTTCGCCTCCCGGCGCCGATACGGCCTCGCGCTCTCAGCACCACCCTTCATCTCCCGGCGCCGACCCACGTCTCCCGGCCTCCTCTGCCTCAACTTCCGTGCAACTCCACCAGCCCCACCACCTCCCCCTCTTTCCCCTAGGCATGAGCAAAACCGGGTATTTACCCGACCCGACCCGGTTTTGCTATACCCGACTTCGGGTCGGGTATTTTTGGGTCGGGTACGGGTCGGGTACGGGTCGGGTAACATGCCCAGGACCAATACCCGGACCCGGGATTTGGGGGCGGGTAATTTAATACCCGCCTGGCGGGTCCGGGTATACCCGACCCGGTATTACCACTCTGAATGCATCTGTATCTACGAAACCCAACCCTTGCCAATCTACAATGCTCTAAGTGACCTAGCAACTCACGTAACCTAGAAACTTGATGAAATTTCTCTACCAGCACGACTAATGTCTCGCTGGTTCCGTCGGGTAGACCGCTACCCGATTTCGGGTCGGGTACCCGCTACCCGACACGTCGGGTAGCATTTCGGGTACCGGGTATTGAATACCCGCCCGGGTAACCCGGACCCGACCCGCCGGGTAATATTCAGGATTTCCGATACCCGACCCGCCCTAAAAGGGGATCCGGGTACCGGGTACCCGACCCGGGCGGGTAGTATGCTCAACCCTACTTTCCCCCCTTGTTCAAGAGGATGCTCACGAAGAGATCCTCACGCTCCATCACCTCAACCCGCTCCTCGTGCCAATCGCCTTCAGCATCGCATGCACCCCTGTGTTTGTCGTCTCCGGCGCCCCAACCATCTTCGAACATGGCACCTACGAGGAGGCGATGGCGTGCCCGGATGCAGCCCGTTGGCTCGAGGCCATCATCAATGAACTACAAGCCTTCATACGCAATCGCTCCTTCATCGATGTCCGCCGCCCGTCCTGTGCCAATGTGGTTCGTGGCAAGTGGGTGTTTCGAGTCAAGCTATTACCTGGGGAGGCCACTGTCTTCGACACCTACTCACCCACTGCCACTCCCCCGGTCGTCCGAGTATTCCTAGACTTTGTCGGGCGACTCGGCATGATCCTACACTCTATGGATGTCACCACCGCTTTCCTTCAATGCGAACTCCACGAGCAGATCTTCCTCGAGCGCCCCAGCGGCTTCCATCTCCCCTTCGATCCCTCCACTGTGTGGGAACTCAAGCGGCCCGTCTACGGCCTGAAGCAGGCACCCCGAGAGTGGTATGCCAAGCTTTCTTCCACCCTTCGCGACCTGGGCTTTTGTCCCTCCCAAGCTGCCTCCTGCCTCTTCCTTCGCACCTCCCCCTCACCCTTCTACATCCTCGTCTATGTTGACGATATGCTCTTGGCCGCCTCCAACGACGCAGACCTACAACAAGTCAAAGACGAACTACCTTGGCATTGAGATCACTCGCGACAAGGAAGCACGCACGATCTCGCTCTCCCAGTCCTACTACATCAAGAAAGTGCTCGAGCACTTCGAGATGTCACCGGCCAAGCCTGTCTCCACTCCTCTTGATGTCAACCACCAGCTCACACCCCCCACCACCCCAGCCTCCTCCGACGACCCCTACGCTGAGCTCGTGGGGTCCCTGATGTACGTCATGATCTGCACTCGCCCCGACCTGGCCTACCCCATCAGTATCCTTGCCCGATTCGTTGGCTGGGGAAGTGTGAGAGTACGACCCCGTTACACCACTTGGCTTTTCCTTCCTATTTCATTTCTCTTTTTATCCCATTTCATTTGGTTTCCTCTTCTCCATTTTTCATTAACCTTTGGTTTATCCTGTTATTATCATTATATCACCGACCAGGCTCGGGATGTACTATTGCGCTCTATCTAGCGTAATCCTGCCGTAATCCCTTAAAGCCAATAGCCTCGCGTGGCTATACGCAGGGTGATTCTATATTCTAGAAGGGTCTATTCCCTTGGGATAAGATAAACCTGGTTACCTGATGTACTTTAGAAGTATAAAAGCGCCTTGTACTGATCGATAGTGCAATCTTTCCTCGACACATTCGATCCTGTGACACTTGGTAATCAGAGCTTTTCTCACTCGGCCGCGCTCCACAAAGCAGCAGCAGCGGGAAAACCTGCCTCGAAAAACCGCCGGGGGCGACCACTTCAACGCCGATTCTGGTAAGCACCAGCTCCGCGTTTTTCGAATTACCCCCCCCCCGCGCGTGTTTTGAACGGGATGGCAACCTTCGACAACGCCGAGGTTACCCAGCAGCTCTTCGCGCGCATCGCAGCTCTTCAGGAGGAGATGCGAGCGGATCGCGAAGTGTGGCGAAACGAGTTCGAGCGAGTAACGCGACTCGCCGGAGCGCAGCACGACTCAACAACGGCGACGACGCAGCAGTCGCAGCAGTTTCTCGAGGCTCCGAAACCGCGCCCACCTGAGCCGTTCGATCCGAGCGATCGAAACTCCGACGCCCGCAGATGGATCGCCGGGATGGAGATCTACTTCGCAGCCGTCGGATGGAGCTCGCCAGTCTGGGACGGTCAACGTGTACCACTCGCGGCGACACTGATGCGAGGACCGGCACTTGAGTGGATTGGCGGCAACAGCACTTTTATCCATGGTGAAGCCACGTGGCAGCAGTTCCGCGCCAACCTGCTGAAACGTTTCGAGCTGATAAATTCCAGTTTCCTTGCCCGGGAAAAAATTCATCGACACCGACAGTTCGGGAGTGTAGCGCAGTACACGCAGCAGATGGAAGAATTTTACAACCGAATTCCCGACCTGACCGAAGGGGAAAAAGTACAGTCGTACCTCGCCGGGCTGAAGACCGAAGTCAAACGACAAGTGGCAGCGTCAAACTACGCGAGCTACAGTGACGTCGTTTCAGCAGCGGAGCGCTTCGACATGGTCAACGCCGGAACACGACGGACGCACATCGGCAATACGCGACAGGGCGACCGCTCGGCTCACCCCACGTTCGCCGACCCGATGGAAGTCGACAGATTCGAGGGGCGGCCACGTCCGAAAAACACCAACTACACGTGTGATTTTTGCGGGGTGCCGGGCCATCGAATCTTCGACTGCAACAAAATGAAAGCCGCACGCGCAGAGTATCGGGCACGCAACAGTGGCGGAATTCCTTCAGCCAATCAGAAGACAAAAAACGGGAGTCGCCAGTGATTGCGGATCTAGCTGGCGAAAATAAAAAGATCCGAAAGCGGCCACAGGATGCCGGAAAAATCAACTTCGACGAAGCTGATTCGACGCGACAAGGAGAAAATGATGGGAGAAAATCTCCACCCCACGACCAGTCTTCGCCAGGGAAAATCGCCGAGAAAAAATACGACTCTGCGAAAAAAGACTCTGCCGAGACGGGGAAACTCCTTGAAGACCCAAGAAATTATAAGGATTCGTTAAAGCTATCCTATAAAGATGCTTTAATGAAAACTTATGATTCTCGAGGGGCTAGAGCCTTGGAGAAATTCGGGAAGGACTCTAAAAGAAGCAGACAGCTCTGGAGATTATACCGGTACCGGACAACTTGGGGAAAAAATTAAGGAGTGTGGAAAGAAGCCGACCTTTTCACGGAGTCAACGTCCTCTCCCGACACCAGCCCACAACGACTTCCCTTTCCCCAGGGAAGACGTCAGTGGAGCTGAAGCAGCTCAAGGGGAAGCTGGGGGTCTACAAGAAGCTGCAGAAACCCCGAATTCCTCCTCCGGATGCATCCAGTTCAGCAACTTCGGCATCAACGACGCGCACAGTCGTCAAGGAAACTCCGGGCCCTGGAGAAGAGCCGTTCTCCAAGCAGCCTCGGCCAGCTGCCAGCCCAGGAGTAGATAGCAACGAAAAGGTGTGTACGGAATATTGGGATGTACCCTATGACACAATCAATGAAACTATCTTTGGGTACTCCGAGCAACGCCTGCCCCTCGTGCTCGAGGTCATCTGCAAAGGACGACGCCTCCAAGCACTCGTGGACAGCGGAGCATCGCACACCGTCTGCGACAAGGCAACCATCGACCGACTTCGAGAAGAGTACAAGCCATCAGCGTTTTCTGCAACAATGGTGGACGGCAGCAAGTTACCAGTACACGGCGAAGCAGTGCTACACCTACAAATTGGACCACTGCGCTGGAGACGTGCACTCCCCATCACCAACATCAAAGGGCTTCACTTGGTCTTCGGGCGAAACTTCCTAAAAAGATTCAACCCCGAGATCATCTGGATGAATCGCACCGCAAGCATCTACAACACTGGACGGAGAGTTCAGCTACCCAACTGGGACGATACAGGAGATATCCCAGTGGAGACACTCGCACGATTCGAGAAGGACGTGAAGCGAACCGACACCGGGTTCCTGGCGATAGCAACAGAGCTGGAGAACGACGGAGAGAAGACCTCGGAACCTCCGGAAAAAATCAAGGAGTTGCTGAAGGAGTTCCATGACAACCTTCGTGACGATCTTTCGAACCAGCTACCGCCATACCGAACGCATCAACACGAGATCGTGGAGGAACCGGGTTCGAAGCCGACCTTCCGAGCACCATATCGGCTCAGCCCTACGGAGCTGACCGACATGAAAAAACAGATCGAGTATCTCCTAGCCAAAGGACTCATCCGACCATCCACTTCGCCATACGGTGCTCCAGTACTCTTCACACCGAAACCGGACTGAAGCCTGCGCATGTGCATCGACTACCGAGCTCTTAACAAGCAGACCATCAAGAATAAATATCCGATAACACGAATCGATGACCTGCTTGACCAGCTTCGGGGAGCTACGATATTTTCCAAACTGGATCTACTGTCCGAATACTGGCAGATACGGATGGCGGACAACTCTATCCACAAAACTGCTTTCCGAACTCGGTATGGATTGTACGAGTATTTGGTAATGCCATTCGGACTCACCAACGCACCGGCAACATTCCAAGCCGAAATGAACCACATTCTACGACCACTTTTGGACGAGTGCGTGGTGGTGTATCTGGACGACATCCTCATCTACTCGCGCGACATGAAGCAGCACGTCGAACACCTGCGACGCGTCTTCGAAATTCTTCGACGCCAACGATTCTACGTCAAACTGTCCAAGAGCAAATTCGCCATTGAGAAGGTCCAGTTCCTAGGACACATGGTGAGCGCTCAAGGAGTTCACGTCAACCCCAAGAAAATCGAAGCCGTACGTACGTGAAAGACACCCGAGAACGTGAAGGAGTTGCAGCAGTTCCTAGGCTTCGCTAATTACTACAACAGGTTCGTGCCACAGTATGCGAAACTCGCAGCACCACTCACGAATCTGCTGAAAAAAAACACGCCCTACAAATGGGAGCCGAAGCACCAGGAAGCCGTGGAGCAGCTGAAGCAAGCACTTACATCCGCACCAGTACTCATCTTGCCAGATCCCGAACGCGACTACGTCATCGAAGCTGACGCCAGTGACCAGGCAGTGGGAGCAGTCTTGATGCAAGACCAAGGAAATGGACTGCAACCAATCGCCTACCTCAGCAAGAAACTGCACGGGGCAGAACTAAACTACCCGATACACGACAAAGAGGCCCTTGCCATCGTCATCGCCTTCAAAGCGTGGAGATGTTATCTCGAAGGACGAAGAACAACCGTCTACACCGACCACTGCAGCCTGAAATACTTGAAGACACAACCCAACCTTTCCAGGCGGCAGGTTCGGTGGATCGACTTCCTCGAGACACACTTCCACTACGACATCGTGTACAAGCCCGGCCACAAAAAAAAAGCAGACGCCCTCAGCCGGCCTGCACACGTTGCCGCTATTCAGATCGAAGGGATGAATCCACTCCTCAAGGGACTCTTCACACACGTGTACGCCATCGACCCCGAAATTCCCTTGGCAGAAAAACGACATCTGCTACAGTGGGACAACGACATCGCGTACAGGAATGGATCAACAAAAATCTGGGTACGTAATTACCCTCCATTGCGCCAGTTACTACTCGAAGAATACCACGACGTCCTCTACGCCGGACACTTCGGTAGCAACAAGACGCTGACCGGTATTGCAAAACACTACTACTGGCCCCACTTGGCAGAGGATGTTCAGAAATTTGTCACCTCGTGTGATACATGTCAGAGGATGAAGAGCAGCAAACAGAAGAAAGCGGGACTGCTACAGCCTCTTGTCCCAGAACAGCCATGGCAAGTGGTCATGGGAAACGCACGTCGTCCTCTGCATGACTACCTTGTCAAGCAGGGTGTCACTTCTACCATCCAGCTTTGAGGGGGGGATCTGTGAGAGTACGACCCCGTTACACCACTTGGCTTTTCCTTCCTCTTTCATTTCTCTTTTTATCCCATTTTATTTGGTTTCCTCTTCTCCATTTTTCATTAACCTTTGGTTTATCCTGTTATTATCATTATATAACCGACCAGGCTCGGGATGTACTATTGCGCTCTATCTAGCGTAATCCTGCCGTAATCTCTTAAAGTCAATAGCCTCGCGTGGCTATACGCAGGGTGATTCTATATTCTACAAGGGTCTATTCCCTTGGGATAAGATAAACCTGGTTACCTGATGTACTTTGGAAGTATAAAAGCGCCTTGTACTGATCGATAGTGCAATCTTTCCTCGAGTCATTGGATCCTGTGACAGGCAAGCACTCTGAGGCACACTGGAAGGCAGCCAAGCGTGTCCTTCTTTACCTTTGAGGAACCAAGGACTACGTCCTTACGCTTGGCGGTCGCACCCCACCCACCCTCACCAGCTTCAGCGACTCCTCATGGGCTGACTCCCAGCCTGATCGTCACAGCTCCCAGGGGTATGGCTTCACCCTGGGGAGTGGCCTCATTAGCTGGCGCTCTACCCGCTCCTCCTCCATTGCCCTCTCCTCCTATGAAGCTGAACTCTATGCCGTTACCACGGCTGCACAGGAAGCTCGCTGGCTCGGCTACCTTCTCACGGAATTTGGTGCCCCTCAGCTCTGCCCCACCATCTGGTGCGACAATGCTAGCACGATACACTTCACCAAAGAAGCAGTTTCCCATGGCCGCTCCAAGCACATCGAGCTCCGCCACTACTTCGTTCGCGAACTCGTCCAAGCCGACCATCTAACCGTCCACAAGATTGACTCCTCTGCCAATCTTGCTGACATCTTCACCAAGGCTCTCCCTCGCATTCGTCACTCCCTCCTCAGCCTCTTAGGCCTTGCTCCTCGCTCCTCCTCGTTCCCTACCTGATTCAAGAGTCGTCTCTTCTCGACCCAAGTATTCTCTCACTATGCAGGCTACGGGGTTGTGTCAGAATATAGTATTCTTTTTATCCTACATAGTTTCTTATACTTGTGTATATATATATATATATATATATACATATATAACCAAGTTGGGCTATCTAGGGGTGTAGATGAATGTTGGGGTTGGATATTCAACCAACCCTTGACCCCAAATATCGAGGTGTTCAATCTTGTTGGTCTTCCACCAACATTATTGGCTCCTCAATTGTTGGTGGTCCAACCTTCCCAAGTTCCCGTGGTCAATTCTTCTCTCCACATTTTCTCTCTGATGCACTCCCTAACCCAAGCACCCGTCGAAGATGTAGCTTGTCTCAACAGTACGTTGGTAGAGAGCACGAGCCACCTTGTGCTGCATTCAACATACATGTGCTGCATGTGCCATCAGCACACACGTGGCGCATTCCACTCACGATCTGGTTAATGCACTCCCCAGAGCACCCGTCGAAGAGGTAGCAGGCCTCGACAGTGCGCTGGTAGAGGGCACGCGCCACCTTGTGGCGAATGCTGAGGGGAAACTCCTCCATCACCTCGTCCTCCACCTGCTCCGTCTCAAACTGCAGCCGCACGTGCTGCCATGGGCAGGTGGATACACAGTAGAGAGGAGAGAGGAGAGAGGAGGCGAGGGGAAGAAGGATGGAAGGGGAGAGGCAACTCCTCCATCACCTCGTCCTCCACCTGCTCCATCTCGAACTGCAGGCGCACGTGCTGCAGGTGGGACGTGGATAGGGCGGTACAAGGAACACGTGGAGACACGGGATGCTGAGGGGAAGCTCCTTCATCACCTCGTTCTCCACCTGCTCCGTCTCGAATTGAAGCGTCGCGTGCTGCAGTGATGTGGGCATGTGGGAGAAGGACAAACGGATGGCATGGGAGCTGCACGTGCTGCAGCAAGAGAGAGGGGCGTGGCATGTGGAGAGAGAGTGCAAGAAGGATGGGAAGAAGGATGGGGAGGTGAGGAGAGAGGATGCAGAGAGGAAGCTTCACCACGCCCTCACCCTCCACCAGCTGTGTCTCACATTGTAGCCTCACGTGCTGTGTGTGGCGGGAGTGGCATGACGCCACAGAAAGGAGGCAGGAAGGGCTGAACGATGTGAGGTCTACAACATGCAGCGACCCTTCTTCTTTCACACTCCCCCTCTCAATCCCTCCCTTTCACACTCTGCCCACTTACTCTCGCAGCTTCCTCCTTTCTCGTCCTCACACCTCTCTCCCTACCTGCATCTGTCTCATCTGCTGCCGGAGTGCGTGCGGCAGGTGGTTGCAGTTCATGTACTTGATCAGCGCTGACATCTGCTCCTCCTCTCGCACCCTTGCCTCCCTTACTCCTCACATCTCTCACCCTCATACATACCTCACCTCGCCCTGCCCGCACCTGTCTCATCTGCTGCCGCAGCGCATGCGGCAGGTGGTTCCTATTCATGTACTTGATCAGCGCTGACATCTTCTCGCGGTACCGCGTCGTGTTGGACCCCTTCACCACCATTGCCGTGATGTTGCCTGCTCGCAGGGGATAGGGTGACACACAACGCATGGGGTGGCACACAGGGCATGGGGCATTGGGAGCAGCAAGACGACCCCTGCACCACCATGGCTGTGGTGTCGCCTGCGCAGAGCATACAGGGTGAAGGGAGGAGGACACATGGCATGCAGTGAAAGAGAAGGGCATGAGGAGCAGCAAAAAGGCCCCTTCACTCACCACCATCGCTGTCATGTTACCTGCTCACAGGGCAGGGGGCATGGGGGCGAGCACAGATGGCTTTGTCCCGGCTTTAACCAGCGAGGCACACAGAGAGGAAGGGTTCAAAGGAGATAAGGAAGGGTTTAAAGGAGATAAGGAAAGGTTCAAAGAAGATAAGGAAGGGTTCAAAGGAAATAAGGAAGTGTTCAAAGGAGATAAGGAAGAAGGGTCCAAGGCATCTCTTGGGTCGTTTGAATCGACTTACCAACGAGGTAGGTCAAGAGAATGTGGTCAAAGGAAATGCAGGCCATGGCTCAGAGCATCACTTGCGCTGTAAGAGCCGGCTCACCAACGAGGTAGGCGGAGAGGACGAGGTCGAAGGAGATGTAGACCATGGCGAACACCATTTCCCGCGGGTTCACTGGATGCACGTCGCCGTAGCCTGGGAGGGAGATGGTGGCACGAAGGTGGACGGCAGATGGCGAAGAGAATTTCCAGGCGGCACACAAGTGGGAAGGGCGTTCTATGTGGGCTGACAGGCGTGGGAAGGACGAAAAAGCCACGGTGAAAGCACTTGCACAAGGGGACGGAGCAAGCAATAGGGTGAAGGCAGTTCACCCAACAATAATCACCATGCTGATGACGCACCATTAGAGCGAGGTGGCCCAACACCTCCTCCCATGCATGCAAGGCCACTCGCCATGCTTTCCAGTCGACTCGAAAGTGCACTCACCAATAGTGGCCATGGTGATGACGGACCAGTAGAGCGCAGTGAAGTACCGCGTGTACAGGTCAATGTCTCGGAAGTCCGTGTACTGCAGGTCCCCCAGAGTGAGGCTGCCGATCCACGTGCTGCCTTCCTGTGCATGCCACACATGTGTTGCGGGCAAGCGAGAGAGAGTCGTGCAATCAATCACCCAGGAGTTTGAGTCTGATTGTGTCAGGTCAGGTCAGGTCAGGTCAGGTCAGGTCAGGTCAGGTCAGGCTGTGTCTAGAAGCACATAGGGCTGACAGGGCAGACATGGTAGACGCATAGACGCACGACCGTCGGATGGGGCACACTGACACTGACACACTGACACACTGACACACGGACACACTGACACACTGACACACTGACACACTGACCGTCAGTGCCGTCACACTGACTGAAGCTAGACTTGAAGCTTGCGCTTCATGACCCAAAGGCGTGGAAACCGAGAGGCGGAATGGGAGAGCACAAGGCAAACCACGAGCGCAACACGAGCGCAACATGCGTCCAACACGTGAGCAACATGAGAGCAACACGAAAGCAACACGTAAGCAACACGTGAGCAACACGTGAGCAACATGAGAGCAACACGTGAGCAACACGAGAGCAACACGTGAGCAACCCGTGAGCAACACGAGAGCAAGACGTGCCTTCACCTTGTTGCTCTCTTGTCAACAAAGAAGTCAACGGAAAAAGCAGATGACACATGGCTCGTACCTGGTCGGGCGGGTAGGTGGTGGCGAGGAAGTAGAAGAAGCAGCCGGCCACGTGGGTGATGTAGAGCTCCACGAATATGAGCTTCACCACACGCACCGCGAAGTAGCTCAGCCGGATGTCCCTCTGCAACCTGGGGTATAGATTACGCACATGGGGAAACAGAACGTGTAGACAGGAGGAGCAACAGTACACGGTGATGTCGGCGATGTGGAGCTCCACAAACATCCGCTTCACCACGCGCACTGCAAAGTAGATCAGGCGGATGTCCCTCTGCAACCTGGGGTTGGGCGCATTGGAGAACAGGTGTGAATAAAACGAATCAGGTGGACGATGACGTGGGTGGGAGGGTGGCACAGAACGCCACAAATATGAGCTTCACCACGCACACCGGGTGTTTGCTCACTGTGAAAAATGAGCCCCGCTGCGACCTGCACATTGGAACCGGGGAGTAGGTTGCAGGAAGGTGAAGCAGGTAGCTTCCGAGTGCTGCTTTTGTTTCCAGCACCACAGCTCTTGAGACTAATGCATGGCCGGCACAAAGTTTGGGAGCACTTGAAATGAGGTGGAAGGAGACACAAGACAGTTCCCATCTGGTTGAAACTCAAATAAGCTTGCTTCCTACAGAGGTGAGGCATGGGGTCCTGCACGCCTTTCATGGCCTGCCATACTTGGAAGGGCTGAAGAAGGCACGCACATACAGCCACACACATCACATACCGGTGGAAGTAGTTCATCACATGGCGTGTCCTCACAACTCTCGTCCATAAAAACCATCGCAGCAGGTGTGTAATGAGTCGATTTTTTAGTCCACTAAAAAATCGACTCATTACACACGGATTATACATGAGAGAATTTTTGTCGCATGGAAGGCTGGGCGTAACTTGCAAAAGTTACTTGTTCGCGCGAGGCTCCCTGAGCACCAGCTGGCGAGAAGTGGGTTACCCACGACACGTCCTGAGGAATGAAGACCTGGCACCTTGGAACTTTCCAGGGTGTTTTTGGATTGGCAGACCATATTTCAGTCGCGGTTGTTTCAGTCGCGGTTGTTTGTTCTCGTAGCGCAGTTTCTGTTTAAGAGCTCGCTTGTAAACTCACTTTCATAATTCCACCAGCACTGATGAAGGTCTGATTTGGGGCCTGTCCCAGTCAGTCAAAACTAGTTTGCGTTTTAATCTTCTAGTGGAGCTGAGTTCGGAACTTCAAATTCTCGCATTTTAAACAGGGTATCTTTACCTACTGTTACTCTCTTTGCTAAAGTTCTCCTCTTCGTTGCAGCCCACCCTAACGCTTAATGGCCACACATCACATACCGGTGGAAGTAGTTCATCACATGGCGTGTCCTCACAACTCTGGTCCATAAAAACCATCGCAGCAGGTTGTCATCACCTTCCCCTCCTGCCAGCTGCCAAACAGGTCAGCGGGAGTAGGCAAACGAACTCATGGGCAAACGAACTCATGGGCAAACGAACTCATGGGCAAACGGGCTGATGGGCAAAGGGGCTGATGGGCAAACGGGCTGATGGGCAAAGGGGCTGATGGGCAAACGGGCTGATGGGCAAAGGGGCTGATGGGCAAAGGGGCTGATGGGCAAAGGGGATGATGGGAAAAGGGGCTGATGGGCAAACGGGCTGATGGGCAAAGGGGCTGATGGGCAAAGGGGCTGATGGGCAAAGGGGCTGATGGGCAAAGGGGCTGATGGGCAAAGGGGATGATGGGCAAAGGGGCTGATGGGCAAGGAAGGGCAGTGAGGCAGCGAAGCAGCAGCAGGGTGGCAAAGGTACACTAGCTGCAGTTCAGGTGCGGCCAGCAGCAGGTATGGCAGCACGTACGTCAGCAAGGGTCCAAACTGGACCCTCTCCCCCCGTTGCTCTCGACAGACGCCATGCAGGAAGCAAAGTGATGAGGCAGACATGTAGCAAGCTGGCATACAGGCCATACTTTGAGGTGATGTCTCAAGCTGTGCTTTCTGTGACTTTTCTCTACCTATCTAAATTGTTTCTGTGCTTATATCCACTGCATCCGTACCATTGTGCATGTGCCTGAGTGAACAGTGCAAAGGAAATAGTGGGACAGAAGGCGCACCTGGAAGAAGGTGTCCCAGGGGAAGAGCGCGAGCACGTCACAGGCGAAGAACGTGCAGAGATACCTGCCACATAGGGCGGGGGGAGCAGAGGAGGGGAGGGGGAAAAGGAGATAGAGGGGAGAAGAAGGAGACAGAGAGGGGTTGAGGATTGAGAAAAAAGAGCAGGGCAGAGACGAGAAATGTGCAGAGATAATGAGAGAAAAGAAGGGGGGAGAGGAAAGGGGGGAGGGGGGAGGGGGGAGGGGGGGGCGAGAAGTAGGAGACAGCGTCTGAGGAGACAGCGTCTGAGGAAACAGCGTCTGAGGAAACAGCGTCTGAGGAAACAGCGTCTGAGGAAACAGCGTCTGAGGAAACAGCGTCTGAGGAAACAGCGTCCTGAGGAAACAGCGTCTGAGGAAACAGCGTCTGAGGAAACAGCGTCTGAGGAAACAGCGTCTGAGGAAACAGCGTCTGAGGAAACAGCGTCTGAGGAAACAGCGTCTGAGGAAACAGCGTCTGAAAGGAAACAGCGTCTGAGGAAACAGCGTCTGAGGAAACAGCGTCTGAGGAAACAGCGTCTGAGGAAACAGCGTCTGGAGGAAACAGCGTCTGGAGGGAGAAACAGCGTCTGAGGAAACAGCGTCTGAGGAAACAGCGTCTGAGGAGACAGAGTCTGAGGAAACAGCGTCTGAGGAGAAACAGCGTCTGAGGAAACAGCGTCTGAGGAAACAGCGTCTGAGGAAACAGCGTCTGAGGAACAGCGTCTGAGGAAACAGCGTCTGAGGAAACAGCGTCTGAAGGAAACAGCGTCTGAGGAAACAGCGTCTGAGGAAACAGCGTCTGAGGAAACAGCGTCTGAGGAAACAGCGTCTGAGGAAACAGCGTCTGAGGAAACAGCGTCTGAGAAAAACAGCGTCTGAGAACAGCGTCTGAGGAAAACAGCGTCTGAGGAAACAGCGTCTGAGGAAACAGCGTCTGAGGAAACAGCGTCTGAGGAAGCAGCGTCTGAGGAAACAGCGTCTGAGGAAGCAGCGTCTGAGGAAACAGCGTCTGAGGAAACAGCGTCTGAGGAAACAGCGTCTGAGAAACAGCGTCTGAGGAAACAGCGTCTGAGGAAAACAGCGTCTGAGGAAACAGCGTCTGAGGAAACAGCGTCTGAGGAAACAGCGGTCTGAGGAAACAGCGTCTGAGGAAACAGCGTCTGAGGAAAGCAGCGTCTGAGGAAACAGCGTCTGAGGAAGCAGCGTCTGGACGCGAAAACAGCGTCTGAGGAAACAGCGTCTGAGGAAACACAGCTGAGGAAACAGCGTCTGAAGGAAACAGCGTCTGAGGAAAGCGAGGACAGGTCTGGAAGGTCGAGAACAGCGTCTGAGGAAACAGCGTCTGAGGAAAACAGCGTCTGAGGAAACAGCGTCTGAGGAAACAGCGTCTGAGGAAACAGCGTCTGAGGAAACAGCGTCTGAGGAAACAGCGTCTGAGGAGGAAACAGCGTCTGAGGAAACAGCGTCTGAGGAAACAGCGTCTGAGGAAAGCTGAGGACAGCGTCTGAGGAAACAGCGTCTGAGGAAACAGCGTCTGAGGAAACAGCGTCTGAGGAAACAGCGTCTGAAGGAAACAGCGTCTGAGGAAACAGCGTCTGAGAAACAGCGTCTGAGGAAACAGCGTCTAAGGAAACAGCGTCTGAGGAAACCACAGCGTCTGAGGAAACAGCGTCTGAGGAAACACGTCTGAGGAAACAGGCGGTCTGAGGAAACGAAGCAGGTCTGAGGAAACAGCGTCTGAGGAAAACAGCGTCTGAGGAAACAGCGTCTGAGGAAACAGCGTCTGAGGAAACAGCGTCTGAAGAAACAGCGTCTAGGAAACAGCGTCGAGGAAACAGCGTCTAAGGAAACAGCGTCTGAGGAAACAGCGTCTGAGGAAACAGCGTCTGAGGAAACAGGTCTGAGGAAACAGCGTCTGAGGAAACAGCGTCAGGAAACAGCGTCTGAGGAAACAGCGTCTGAGGAAACAGCGTCTGAGGAAACAGCGTCTGAGGAAACAGCGTCTGAGGAAACAGCGTCTGAGAACGGTCTGAGGAAAACAGCGTCTGAGGAAACAGCGTCTGAAGGGAAACAGCGTCTGAGGAAACAGCGTCTGAGGAAAACAGCGTCTGAAGGAAACAGCGTCTGAGGAAACCAGCGGTCTGAGGAAACAGCGTCTGAGGAAACAGCGTCTGAGGAAAACAGCCGTCTAGGAAACAGCGCTGAGAAACAGCGTCTGAGGAAACAGAGCGTCTGAGGAAACAAGCGTCTGAGGAAACAGCGTCTGAGGAAACAGCGTCTGAGGAAACAGCGTCTGAGGAAACAGCGTCTAAGGAAACAGCGTCTGAGGAAACAGCGTCTGAAGGAAACAGCGTCCTGAGGAAACAGCGTCTGAGGAAACAGCGTCTGAGGAAACAGCGTCTGAGGAAACAGCGTCTGAGGAAACAGCGTCTGAGGAAACAGCGTCTGAGGAAAACAGCGTCTGAGGAAACAGCGTCTGAGGAAACAGCGTCTGGAAGGAAACAGCGTCTGAACCGGGAAACAGCGTCTGAGGAAACAGCGTCTGAGGAAACAGCGTCTAGACGGGAAACAGCGTCTGAGGAAACAGCGTCTGAGCGAGAAACAGCGTCCTGAGGAAACAGCGTCTGAGGAAAACAGACAACACGTCCTGAGGAAACAGCGTCTGAGAAACAGCGTCTGAGGAAACAGCGTCTGAGAAACAGCGTCTAAGGAGACAGCGTCTGAGGAAACAGCGTCTGAGGAAACAGCGTCTGAGGAAACAGCGTCTGAGGAAACAGCGTCTGAGGAAACAGCGTCTAAGGAAACAGCGTCTGAGGAGACAGAGTCTGAGGAAACAGCGTCTGAGGAAACAGCGTCTGAGGAAACAGCGTCTGAGGAAACAGCGTCTGAGGAAACAGCGTCTGAGGAAACAGCGTCTGAGGAAACAGCGTCTAAGGAAACAGCGTCTGAGGAAACAGCGTCTGAGGAAACAGCGTCTGAGGAAACAGCGTCTGAGGAAACAGCGTCTAAGGAAACAGCGTCTGAGGAAACAGCGTCTGAGGAAACAGCGTCTGAGGAAACAGCGTCTGAGGAAACAGCGTCTAAGGAAACAGCGTCTGAGGAAACAGCGTCTGAGGAAACAGCGTCTGAGGAAACAGCGTCTGAGGAAACAGCGTCTAAGGAGACAGCGTCTGAGGAAACAGCGTCTGAGGAAACAGCGTCTGAGAAACAGCGTGAGGAAACAGCGTCTGAGGAAACAGCGTCTAAGGAAACAGCGTCTGAGGAGACAGAGTCTGAGGAAACAGCGTCTGAGGAAACAGCGTCTGAGGAAACAGCGTCTGAGGAAACAGCGTCTGAGGAAACAGCGTCTGAGGAAACAGCGTCTGAGGAAACAGCGTCTAAGGAACAGCGTCTGAGGAAACAGCGTCTGAGGAAACAGCGTCTGAGGAAACAGCGTCTGAGGAAACAGCGTCTAAGGAAACAGCGTCTGAGGAAACAGCGTCTGAGGAAACAGCGTCTGAGGAAACAGCGTCTGAGGAAACAGCGTCTAAGGAGACAGCGTCTGAGGAAACAGCGTCTGAGGAAACAGCGTCTGAGGAACAGCGTCTGAGGAAACAGCGTCTGAGGAAACAGCGTCTGAGGAAACAGCGTCTGAGGAAACAGCGTCTAAGAAACAGCGTCTGAGGAAACAGCGTCTGAGGAAACAGCGTCTGAGGAAACAGCGTCTGAGGAAACAGCGTCTAAGGAAACAGCGTCTGAGGAAACAGCGTCTGAGGAAACAGCGTCTGAGGAAACAGCGTCTGAGGAAACAGCGTCTAAGGAGACAGCGTCTGAGGAAACAGCGTCTGAGGAAACAGCGTCTGAGGAAACAGCGTCTGAGGAAACAGCGTCTGAGGAGACAGCGTCTGAGGAAACAGCGTCTGAGGAAACAGCGTCTGAGGAAACAGCGTCTGAGGAAACAGCGTCTGAGGAAACAGCGTCTGAGGAAACAGCGTCTGAGGAGACAGAGTCTGAGGAAACAGCGTCTGAGGAAACAGCGTCTGAGGAAACAGCGTCTGAGGAAACAGCGTCTGAGGAAACAGCGTCTAAGGAGACAGCGTCTGAGGAAACAGCGTCTGAGGAAACAGCGTCTGAGGAAACAGCGTCTGAGGAAACAGCGTCTGAGGAAACAGCGTCTGAGGAAACAGCGTCTGAGGAGACAGAGTCTGAGGAAACAGCGTCTGAGGAAACAGCGTCTGAGGAAACAGCGTCTGAGGAAACAGCGTCTGAGGAAACAGCGTCTGAGGAAACAGCGTCTGAGGAAACAGCGTCTGAGGAGACAGCGTCTGAGGAAACAGCGTCTGAGGAAACAGCGTCTGAGGAAACAGCGTCTGAGGAAACAGCGTCTGAGGAAACAGCGTCTGAGGAAACAGCGTCTGAGGAGACAGCGTCTGAGGAAACAGCGTCTGAGGAAACAGCGTCTGAGGAAACAGCGTCTGAGGAAACAGCGTCTGAGGAAACAGCGTCTGAGGAGACAGCGTCTGAGGAAACAGCGTCTGAGGAAACAGCGTCTGAGGAAACAGCGTCTGAGGAAACAGCGTCTGAGGAAACAGCGTCTAAGGAGACAGCGTCTGAGGAAACAGCGTCTGAGGAAACAGCGTCTGAGGAAACAGCGTCTGAGGAGACAGCGTCTGAGGAAACAGCGTCTGAGGAGACAGAGTCTGAGGAAACAGCGTCTGAGGAAACAGCGTCTGAGGAAACAGCGTCTGAGGAAACAGCGTCTGAGGAAACAGCGTCTGAGGAAACAGCGTCTAAGGAGACAGCGTCTGAGGAAACAGCGTCTGAGGAAACAGCGTCTGAGGAAACAGCGTCTGAGGAAACAGCGTCTGAGGAGACAGAGTCTGAGGAAACAGCGTCTGAGGAAACAGCGTCTGAGGAAACAGCGTCTGAGGAAACAGCGTCTGAGGAAACAGCGTCTGAGGAAACAGCGTCTGAGGAAACAGCGTCTGAGGAGACAGCGTCTGAGGAAACAGCGTCTGAGGAAACAGCGTCTGAGGAAACAGCGTCTGAGGAAACAGCGTCTGA